ATCCGATAGCTTTCTTAACGTACAATATTTGGCAAAGTGGTTTTTGCTATGGCAGAAGTTGCAATCGTATACGGAGTCTCCTACCAGTTTGCTCTCCTTCTTCTCTTCTTCTTTCTGAGGAGTATTTTTGATCTCCTCTTTCGCCTTTTCTGAGCTATAGCTTCCCCGCCAGTTTCGGTTCTTGGCAATAGGAAACTTTTTGCGAGAAAACCGCTTCGGGTTGGAAACCATCATTGCATACTCTTTGCTTGTCAGATCACATTCTGACATCTCTGACTCTTCTTCATCCTCTTCCACATTCTTCTCCTTAGAGAGAAGGGCCAGGGATCCCATACCAGACACCACTTTCGCTTCCTTTGTCACAACACTTTCATGAGACTTGAGAATACCTACCATCTTTGCCAATGAATAGGTTTTAAATTGCTCGTGAGCCTTCACAGTTGATACCACAGCCATCCATTCGGGTCTTAAACCATTCATAAATGTGACCTTCTGTTCGATCACTTCTTTTCCAATACCGTGCTTGATCATCTTGCTCAAAAGATGGTCGAAACGATCGAATGCCTGAATAAGTTTTTCATCTGGCTTTTGTTGGAAAGCACCGAACTCAGAGAGCAATAGAGTTTGGATAGAATGCTCTAGGTCTTCATCAGTGGAATACAGCTCTTTAAGTCTATCCCAGATCTCTTTTGTCGTGGTGCATGGGCTTACCAAACGAAAAGTATCAGACTGTAAAGCAAATCGGATCATTCTCATGGCTTTAACATTACACAACAACTTATATTTTTCGTCTTGAGGTCACATCAGTTAAGAGTTTGTTGTACTCCTTTTGAGTCTTAATAGTTCTATTTGTTCCAGAATGAACAAAAGGACCCAATGTTATTGCTTCCCAGATAAGATAACCATTGTCTTCGGAACCAACGACGTAGTCCTCAAAGTGATGCGTCCAAACTTCATAATCTTGAGTGTATAGAATCGGGATTCTGATTGTAGATCCAATGCTGTTGGAGATATTGATCGTATTGATTTGTGAATCTTCGTGAGACATCATGACCTTTTTCAGATATCTGCTAAGAATCAGACTTGTAAAGATTGAATAGGGTTTTATCGAGATCTATGGACAACGTCAATGAACGAATGACGACTTAACAGATCCAATAAAAGCAGAAACCCTAAGAAAAATTTTCAAACAGAAGATATGCATATGATTTACACAGCCTCCTGCTTTGATACCAATTGATGAGATTAAAACTCTTTTAAGATCGATAAGATTCTTAACAAATAAACCAGAAAGTAAACCAAATAGCGAACACAATGAATCAAACGGTTTTCGAATGATTAAACGGCTACACCCCAGAAGAGGTCGATAAAGAACTTCTACTTTAGAGGTGTGCTAGGGTTACAATACTACCCAAGCAAATATTCAAGAAGCGTTATTAATATAATGCATGCATGCACTATATATACTAAACCCTAAAAAAAATACACGGTTGGACAGGCCCAAACTGTGAATACATATGGACCGAACTAACTAAGTCCAATGGTGCAACCCATATACTCAACACGAAGGTTTATATTATTTCTTGAAACGATTACAAAGATGTTATAGTTTAACCTATACTATGCCTCTTATAGGCTATACCACCTAATGCTATCTGCATGGTTGCATTATATCTTGATTTTGGAACATATAGTCCTTACTCCTGATCCCTTTCATCCTCGCCTGCTTCATTAAGGATCGTCAGGAATGCTTTTGCCTTTGGCGGTGGATTAGGCCTTACTGCTTCATTTTTCTTTGGGCAATTCTTCGAAATATGCCCTCCTTCTTTACATTCGTAACACACCCTCTTGCTGGATGTACACTCATTGGCGTAATGCCCAGACTTTCCACATTTGAAACATGTCACCTCCTCGTCACATTTTCCAAAGTGTTTCTTCTTGCACTTATCGCACCATCTTGCTTCATCTCCTCCTCCTTCAAACTTCGAGAATTTTCTTTTCTCGTTGGACCCTGAAGTTCCTTCCAACTTTCTTTTCTCGCCAACTTCAACCTTGTTGGCGGCTCTTCCCTTGATCATCTCTTTAACAAACTTGGCAGCCCAGATAGTTGACTCCAGAGTAATTGTCTAACGCACTGGCACCACATAATCCCATGGAAGTCCCTTTGCATACGTGTCTATTTTTGTCAGCTCGTATGGAACAATACGCAATGCAAACTCCATTTTATCTGTGAAGTTATTAGTGTATTCATCGATGGACATGCTTCCCTTCTTTAATGTCAGAAATTGGTTCTCTAGCTCAAGCAGATTTTGGGCCGAACAGTACTTGCGCTTGAAATGCACCAAGAACTCTGCCCAAGTCAGTTGTAGTGGCTCATTATGGCTTAGGGTCTTCCCCAGAGTGTTCCATCAGTGAACAGCGCCACCTCTGAATTGACGCACTACAAATATGGTTTGTAACTTGCCTTGGCAACCACATGTCATGAAGGCTAATTCCATCTCCGAGATCGAATCCATTACTCCGACAGGATCTTCCTTTCCAGTGAAAGTTGACGGCTTGCAAGTCATAAAGTATTTATACTTGCATCCATTTCTCTCGATTCCGTCCTCTTGGTTATTCCTCATAGCCACAAGCGGGTCAGCTTGACCAACATATCTACTGTAATTTCCTTCCTCTTATTGACTGTCATTTAATTCAGGTTGTTCAACAAGCATTTAAGGTTCAATCATGTTGTTCAACAATTGTTTTATTTCTTCCCTCTATTCAACCATCGTAGCCCGAATCATGGCTTGAACACCAGTCATTGTGACTGGCTCTGGTGCAGCTTCTACCACAGGCATCTGCTCAATCACTTGGGGTTGAGGTCGTTGATTCCTATTTGCATTTCCAGCTCCACTTTGAGTTCTTGCCATTTTGATCTATACACCAAATTAGGCGAATTTAGATCTTTATTCACGACAGATATTTAAATTCTCTTTATCACTCTGAAACGTTATATGGTAGTTCTAATATCGTAATCGTACGCTTAGAATCCTGAACACATAAGGTTTCCAGATCCGGTTGGCAACAGACCATAGATCTGAACAAATAATATCATATATGGCAAACATATAACATTTAGCACATAAAACCATTTTAGGCATCTTTCCTAAAATAAACTAGTGCTCGTGTCTAAAATATGGTAGACACTCATCTCACGATCATCACTTAGCATTCTAAGTTTAAGTCTATAAATCCTACAAATTCCTAGTTCGCTTAAACTAATGCTCCGATACCAACTGTGACATCCCCATTGTTGTCCCGAAGCAACTTTTATAAAACCTTAACCCCTTTTTAGAGGATATTGAGTCTTGTGTGTCTTTTGGTGTGTGTTGGGTGCATCTTGAAAAATAAGAGATCATTAAAGGAGGATTAGTTTTCTTGGAGCTTGAAGGTTCGTCACTCTCTTCACCTTTGCAAGCTTCTGGATGTATAAAGCTTCAAACTTTATGACTCTTTAGCTTAGATCTAGATTTAGGATTACGTTTGGTATGCTTTTCGTCCCTTTGTTTGTTTCTTGTAAGTAGAAGTTACTCCAGAACTTGTGTTGGCCATTTCTTGGTATTTCTAGAGTTGTAGAATCATAAAAATGGCATCTTGATGGGATACGCTCAACCATGCATGAGTTGATGGTCTTAATATGAAGCTAGATGTTAGAAATGCATGTTAGGCCTCTTTAAGCCATGCAAAGGCATCAAGTTGATGACTTTATCATTTAAGACGTTTCCCAAGAACTAGATCTATGATTTGGATGTTTGGACTTAAGGAATTAAGTGCTTAATGGATTTTTTGGCAATCAGGGGCATACATTAAGCATATATAGGCGTACGCTCAGTGTAACGTGTTGCAGTCCCGTTTCCTTTTCTTTGAAAACTTCTACACTGGGCATAACAAGGTGTTACATCGGGCATACTCACCACATGGCCTTTTAGGCCTTTGGTCTTTTGGTCCGTTCTTGGGGCTTAGGTCTTTTGGTCCATTCTTGGGCCTTAGTTCTCTTGGGCCATTAGTAGGCCTTGGGTTATCGCTTTTTGGGCATATAGTAGGAAGGATAAAAAGGGACTTTTACCCTTTGTAATAGGAATTATGATTTGGACTTTCATTTGTTACCCTAAATAGTGATTAGGGTTGGTTTGAATATGTTCAGTGTGAGAAGTCGTGGTAGCAGCAACCAGAGTGTGTGATTTGTTCATCTTCAGATTGGGGTGAATTTCCTCACTGTATTTGTGGATCTAAGGCACTAATGTCGGCGCATTAGATTATGTTGTAGAATGGTAGTGATCTTCATTACACTTATTGATATGTCTGTATGTGCTTGTTGTCTTTGTTACTCTTTCTAGTATGAATGTATGTTTAGTTGTAGGGGGTGAAATAGACCCGTACCGTTTGAAATATATCGAAGGAGTCGGAAGGGACTCAGAGAGTTAGAAGGGACTCAGGGGTGAAATGGATCTGTTGTATGCTATGTATGATATGTATGTATGATGTATGGTATGTGGTATTTGAGGAACTCGCTAAGCTTTTTGCTTACGATTTACGTTTATGTTTCAGGTACTTCTGCTTCAAAAGGAAAGGGCATGGCCTCATCGCAGCTCATCCACCCATGTTTCCTCAATTTTTAAGATTTTGGGATTTGTACTCTCATACTATTTTTACACTAGCATACTTTGATGGTTGTTTGAGATATTTGATGAATTTTGGTTGATTTAAAAATGAAATTTGTACTTATATTTTTGGAATATCTTTCAAAACCCCTAAAATGAAAGACAATAAGAAATGGCAGAAAAAAGAAAAGCAAAATGGAGACTCCTTGTTACTGTTTTCTCACCATTAAAGTCTTGAGTGGAGAAAAAGGCCCACCGGAGAGCTTGAATACAAGTAGAAGAGTGTTGTGTTCCAGATGAAATAAAGAGAATCGGTCACCATTTGTTAGAAATAAAGATAGATTAGTGAGTATCCATATGGAAGAAGAAGAAGATGATGATGATAGTAATGGTAATGGTGGCCTCTCAAATTAACATAAAATAAAGGGAATCAGTCACCATTTGTTAGAAGGATGCACCCTTGTTTTGGTGTATTTCATTAGTGTTTAGTATAGAGAGAGATTTGTAGGGTTTTGTGTGTGTGTGTGAGAGAGAGAGAGAGAGAAAGACCCTCAATTTTTTTAATAAAATTTAAAATTAAATAGAAAAAACATAAAATACATATCAAAAGGACATTTAGTCTTTCCAGTTTTATGAGGAACCAAAATCACAAGCAAACATTGTGAAAATGACAACTAATTCGAAAAAGTTGGGGTTTAGATTAAAACCTAGAAAACTTGTATATCATAGGGATCATTTTTGCAATTTTGTCTAAAAACAATTCCTGTGTGATAAAATCAAATATATTATGCATGGCTTTAACATCTAGTTAGGCTTTTAATTAGTCGGTCGTTCTAAGAAGAAGCATTTATAAGGTTACACAGAAAATATAAAAGAAATGATGATAAAAATAAAAAATAATAAATAATAAAAATCATAAAAACTTTTAAAGTATAAAAATAACTTACCTTTCTAAATATAAAAGTAGAAACAGAACCAAGAAGGTACACCAGTTCTTTTTGACTTTTTACAAAATTAAATGCTAAATCATAAAATGTAAATGATATTTTAGTATTTTTAATTTTCTGATGGATCAAAATCACAAGTAAACATGATTAAAAGGACCATTAATTCGAAAAGTTGGGGTTTAGACTAAATTCCAAAAAAATTGCATAGTAAAGGGATAATTTTTGGCTTTTTGCAGTTTTGTCTATAAAAAAAATTCCTAGTGATAAAATTAAATATATTATGTGTGACCATAAAATCTAATTAGGTTTTTAATTAGTTGGAGGTTCTAACAAGAAGTATTTACAAGTTTACATAAAACAAAAAAAAGGATGATGATTAAAAAAAACTTTTAAAGTATAAAAAAAGTCCACCTTTCTAAACCTACAAGTAGAAACAGAACCAATAAGATCCACCGGTTCTTTTTGACGTTTTACAAAATCAAACACAAGAAGACAGACGGTCCATCAGTGCCCAATTAATTTCATAATCAACGTTTCAACGCTCCATGTGCCAGATGATGGTATCTTTAATATTCTTTTCACGCTTGTGTCTCCCTTTATATAACCCCCTACAAATTCACATACTGAACAACCTCCAGAAACCAAAATGCAGATTACTTGTCTTTTGAACTTCAAGTGGAAATCATTAAAAGACTTCCAGTTAAGTCACTGCTTCAATTCAGATCTGCCTCAAAACGATGGAAGACTTTGATCGACAGTTCTAAGTTTATTGCTGCTCACACCGTTGGTCAGACTCAGTTAAACCATCTTCTTGTATGGTATGAAGATTGCTATGTAGATCTTAGAAAGACTGGGAAAAAAATTGTTTCATTTGTTGATGATGAAACTTTAGAGTCAATTTTTACTCGCCAGGAGATTGATCCGACTACTCTGGGGCTAGCTAAACATTACAAGGATTTACGAGTGGTTGGCAGCTCTCAAGGATTGTTGTGCTTGTACGATTTTGAGCGAGATCATTCTTGTTATAAATCTGTAACAGCGATGGTTGTTCTTTGGAATCCCTCTATTAGAAAATCCATTGGTGTAGTTGTTCCTCGTGTGTCAGGGTGGGGATTTCGTCATACCGTTCTTGGTTTTGGGGTTTGTCCTATCACTAGTGACTCTATGATTGTTAAGATTACAAATGTTAGCATCGAAATGAGAAGCAGCACTGGTGTCTCTTGGGCAGCTTGTTGGGGTTGAAACACACTTTTATTCAGAACTAGAACAAAAGGGAAGAGCTTACACGCTCAATATTACAAGAAAAAGAAACAACCCTCTAATACTCACTCTAAGTTTTACACACTACACTCTCTATTTTTTGGTGCCTTACAACTGAGGTTAGAGCCTTTATTTATACTTAAACAAGCCTATAATTACTACTGCTACCATTTATTGTGTTCATTATGTGAACATACGAAGTTGCCATTTGAGTTCTTATTGTCAACATAGATAGAGGTGCAGCTACTGATGTCAGGTTCACACCAAGTCTGGTTTACACCAAGTCTGGTTTACACTCACATTCTCCCCCTTAAACCGAACTTGGATCAAGATTCGTCACTCCGATCATGTTTCGCATTTCACCATGGTTTACACTCACATTCTCCCCCTTAAACCGAACTTGGATCAAGATTCGTCACTCCGATCATGTTTCGCATTTCACCATGTTTCACGTATGCTAAAGCCTTTGTAAAGATGTCCGCCCGTTGATCCTTCGAGTTGACATATTCCACTATAATTTGCCCACGTTCAACACATTCTCGTATGAAGTGATAACGAATTTCAATGTGTTTGCTTCGACCATGAAACACAAGATTTTTCATCAATGCGATTGCTGACTTGTTATCGACATATAAGGTGATAGGCATGATATGATGTCCCGTGAGCTCCTTCACGAGATTAACAAGCGAAATGGCTTGACATGCTGCTGTTGTAGCTGCCATGAACTCGGTTTCACACGTGGACAAAACAACGGTCTTTTGCTTTTGGGATTGCCAAGTTATCGCATTCCTTCCCAAATAGAAAATCATTCCACTTGTGCTCTTGCTATCAACAGGCTCACCTCCAAGATCACTATCAGTAAAACCAACCAAATCCTCAAATTCACAACCTCTTCCATAGTTGAGTCCATAATCAACGGTTCCTTTTACGTATCGTAAGATGTGTTTTACAACTTGGAAATGCAAAGTGGTTGGTTCCTCCATGAAACGACTTGCAATTCTAACCGAAAATGACAGGTCTGGTCGAGTGTGAGTCAAGTACCTCAAACAACCTACCACTCGCCTATATTCAGTTGGATTAACTTTTTCACCATCTTCATCCTTCTTGACCTTCAACTTAGGTTCCATTGGTGACGTTGTCGGATTGCAATCTAGCAACCCAAATTGCTCTAAAATCTTCTTTGCATAAGCCGTTTGTCGCAAAGATATTCCGCACTTCTTTTGTGAAACTTCGATTCCAAGGTAGTAAGAAAGTAATCCCAAATCACTCATTTCAAATTCTTTCTTCATTTGTTCTTTGAATTCGACAACGTCGTTAGTGTTCAACCCGGTAATGATCAAGTCATCAACATAGACACCAACAATAAGAATTTTGTCTTTTGAGTTCCTTTTGTAAACAGCTGGGTCTTGTGAACTTTTTGTAAAACCAAGCCTTTTTAAGCTTTTATCCAAACGAATGTTCCAAGCTCGAGGAGCTTGTCGTAGACCATAAAGAGCTTTATAAAGCTTGAACACCTTGTGACTGTTTGCTTTATCAACATATCCTTCTTGTTGGGTAACATAGACCTCCTCCTTGATATCACCATTGAGAAAAGCCGACTTGACATCAAGATGGTGGACAACCCACCCATGTTGAGCTGCTAAGGCAAGGATGAGCCTCACGGTGTCAAGTCGTGCTACCAGTGTAAAAACTTCATCAAAGTCGACTCCTTCCTTTTGTACAAATCCTTTTGCTACAAGTTGAGCTTTATGATTCACCACTTTTCCCAAGTTGTCTTTCTTCACTTTAAACACCCATTTCAAACCAATTGCTTTGTGTCCGGGTGGCAAATCGGTAAGTTTCCATGTCTTGTTCTTTTCGATTGCATCCAACTTTGTTTGCATAGCCTCCTGCCATGCTTTAGAGGTTACCGCCTCTTTAAAATTCAAGGGTTGATCCGCTGCAATCATCAACAATTCTCCGGGTTCAAGGAACACATTTTCGGTTTCAGAATAAATATCGGAAAACGGACGTAATCCCCTCGGCCCAATCTCACTAGAAGGGCTTTCCATATAGGGCGAGGTTGAAGAAAACGGGGCTGAGACAGGAGTTTGTGGGGCTGATTCAGGCTCGTCAAATTCAGCATATGGTTGTCCAACTTGGATAGCATCGATTCCGGGACTGTCTGGTTGTTCCGGGTTGATTTCGGGGTCATTTTGAGTTGTTCCGAGGTGTATTTGGGGTTGTGGTTCAATTATGGTAAAGGTCTTAGGAGTCACCATCTCTTCTTCTTTGTTTTTGTACCAATTCCATTCTTCTTTTTTGTCAAAAACAACATCGCGACTAACTCGCAACTTTCGGTCTTACGGATCAAACAAACGGTTGCCCTTAGTTCCATCTTCCACACCTAAATACACCATCTTTTTACTTCGATCATCAAGCTTCTTCAAGTGACCACCTACAAGTTTAGCAAAAGCAACACAACCAAAAACTTTTAGATGTTCAAGGTTGGGCTATTTGCCAAACCATGTTTCATAAGGCGTCTTGTCGGGAAGTGCTTTTGTTGGCAGGCGGTTGAGAAGATAAACTGCATGTCTAACCGCTTCTCCCCAAAACTCTCCCGGAACATTTCTTCCTTTGAGCAGACTTCTTGCCATGTCCATAACGGTCCGATTTCGCCTTTCTACAACTCCGTTCTGTTGAGTCGAATATGGTGTCGTAAGATGCCTTTGAATACCATTTTCTTCACAAAATAATGAGAATTCTTTTGAAGTGAACTCTACCCCTCGATCCGTTCGAAGTATCTTCATTTGATAACCCGAATTCTTTTCAACCATCAACTTGAACCATTTAAAAGTGCTCAAGGCTTGAGACTTCTCCGATAGCATGTAAAACCACATCCACCGGCTAAAATCGTCTACTAAAAGGAGAAAATATTTACTCCCTCCAACAGATGTAGGTGTGATCGGACCACATAAGTCCGCATGAACAAGTTGTAGAGGTTTTTGAGCCCGAACAACTGCGTGATCCGGGAATGGAATTCGGGTTTGTTTGGAAAGAACGCACCCTTCACATATTTGGTTTGGGTGCTCAATATTTGGGACTCCGGTTGCCATATTCTTTTCGGACAACTACTTTAAGGCGAGAAAGTTAACATGACCGAGTCTAGAATGCCATATCTAAGCTGGTTCGTCTTTTGTTGCTAAAAGACAAGTCGGTCTACCGGTCCTTAAAGGAGTTTTATATAACCGGTTTGGGGATCGTTTAACTCTCAAAAGTAGAGTTTTGTTTCTGTCAAACAATGTCAGATCCGACCCATCCATTATGACCAGACTCCCTTCCTCCGTCATTTGTCCAAGACTAATAATATTGTTTTTTAGACTTGGATTGAAATATACCTCATTAAGGAGTCTTTGGTCGCCATTTTTGCTATCGAATAAAATCGACCCTTTTCCCAAAATAGCGACGGTCGAACCATCCTCAAATTTCACGTGACACGTAACGTGCTTGTGAGAACCGTCAATTTTTGGCCAAGTCAAAGTCAACTAAAGTCAACAAGTCAAACCGGTCAGCTCATCTAACCCTTGTACATTAGAGTTTCCATTATGTTTCTTATTGAACAACTTGCAATCTTAATACAAGTATCACTTAGGGTTTTCACGTGTTCGGAAATTCTAAACCCTAATCAGGGCAAGTGATGAAACTACTCGATAAAACATTATTCCATACCCCTCGAGAGCGTATAACATTCATAACAAGGCTTAACAGAGTGTAAGAACCTTGCGTTGCGAAGCCAAACACTCAAAAAGGTCACAAAAGAAATCTCTCCAAATCTCTTTCACTCTAACTCTCCCAAAACTTTCTAAGTAAGAGAAATCTCTCCAAGAATGTGAAATCTCACCCAAATCTCTCTCTATATGAGAAATCTCTCCAAGAATATCAAATCTCTCCCAAATCTCTCCAAGTATGTCAAATCTCTCCCAAATATCTCTCTGAATGAGAAATCTCTCCAAGTATGTGAAATCTCTCCCAAATATCTCTCTGAATGAGAAATCTCTCCAAGTGTATGAAATCTCTCTCAAAAGTTCCTTTAACTTTTTATAATCATTTTGGGCATCCCGATACTTAACATGGTGAAAAACTGCGCAAAACGGGGAGTTTATGCGAAAATCAGCCAAATAGGGCCGAACCCTCCTAGGGTCGAACCTCTTAGAGGCGAAGCCTCTCGGACCGAAGCTGCTTAGAATCGAAGGTCGCTATAGGGACCGAACTGCTGAAGAGCCGAAACCCTGCGAACCGAACCCGAAGCTTCCGAACTGAATCCTAATGACGGACTGTTTTGGTAAACTTAAACATTTTAGTTTTCAAAACTGTATTAGGTGCAAATCTTTCAGGTTCATACCTTTAAAATGACTACTTGCACATCACCATACGATTTTTCTACAATTTATGGTAATTTTTACAAAACTGTCTATCATTTCAGAAACAAATCCGGACCAGTCTGTCAATATGAACATTTTCACACAAGTTAAAACTTCTAAAAATCATAATAAAAATTATAAATAAACTAGACACATTTTGTGAACTCTTAGAGTTTACGGATTCAGTTTTCGACTTTGTATGATTTTTCTATAATTTTTCTAAAACAGTATAGAAATGTCAAAATCTAGATAACAGCTTATAACTTTCAACACACTTTGTAACATGTTGAGCAAAGTGTTAATCTTTAATGACTTCATATTTTACATGTGTTTCTTGTTGTGGGATAATTGTATAACAGAAAATACTCACTGAATTTTAAGAATCCTCCATCATTACCAATAGTACAAAACAAGGCATGATAAACATAGTTATATTTTGCTATACAATCGACGTATATAGAAAAGGGTTCTTATTCACCACAAACAAACATACTAAACTATAATAGGTATAGTTAGGTTGCATATACATTCCAAACATTATGATAGACTATAATAGGTATAGTTTATGTTCATTTACATTAC